CTGTCCCCACTCTCTGACACAACCCGTGAGGACAGTATCAGACTTCACTATGACGCTGCTCATGGTCAAACAGGCAAATGGTCATCAATCTCCAGACTCTGGGAATGGAACTACCGCAGGCCGAAGGAGGGTGAGGCATTTTTGGCAAGGCCTGGGTTTTTGTGGGGGAGCTGAGTTGTCAGTGATGAGCAGATGAGAATGACAGAGAGAGTTGTTAACCTGGATAGGATCTGGAATGGCACAGTGTTCAGACAGGAGCCAAGTGAATTGTAATGTGAAAGTGATGATTAACAGAGCCTCTGGCCATTGTTGGTTGAATGGGCTGGTCTCGGGATGTTGGGGGAGGTGGGGAGATGCTGGTATGTTTATTGGCTCGCGTGCCTGCAGGAGGAGGCCTTTCAGCCCTTACTGACTGCGCCAGCATTCCGGATGATTGTTCTGACAGTGTCTCCTCCTCAGTCTCCTCCCTGCAACCTTGCACTTGGTTTCTCTTCAAATCATCATTGAGTGCCTTCTAGAAGCATAGAATCCCTAGTGTGGAAGCATGCCATTCAGCCCTTCGAGTCCACACTGACCCTCTGAAGAACATCCCATCCAGACCCATCCCCCTACCCAATCCCTGTAACCCTGCATTTCCCATGGCTAATCCACCTAGCCTGCATATTCCCAGATACTGTGGGCAATTTAGCATGGCCAGTCCACCCTAACATCTTTGGATTATGGGAGGAAACGAGCAAACCCACGTAGACACGGGGAGAATGTGCAAACTCCACACAGACATCCGAGGCTGGGATTGAACCCAGGTTCCTGGCGCTATGAGGCAGCAATACTAACCACTGTGCCACCCTAATCTAATCTATTCTAATTTAATCTGATGCATCAATCCTCAGATTCCCCTCTGGTTCTTTTGCTGATTCTCTTCAATCCCTGCCCCTCTCTGTTTACCCAGCCTCCAGCCATTTCAAACAGTTTAACAGCATAAGAACCATAAGAAATAGGAACAGGTGTTGGCCATTCAGCCCCTCGAGACTACTCTGCTATTCAATAGGATCATGGCTGATCCGACATTCCTCACGTCTGCCTTCCTGCCCTTTTCCTGTGTGCCTTCATTCTCCTACTTTTCAGGAGTGCATCTATCTCAGCCTTGAACATGCACATTCAGTCTCTGACCAAATGTCATTCAACGTCTTGATTAAATCTCCCCTTTAATCTTCTCGGCACTAAAGAGAACAATCCCAATCTCTCTAGACGTTAACTGAAGAGGCTGAGGTGTGAGGGTAGGTTCACCCGACCGATTCCTGGGATGAGGGGATTGACCCTTGAGGAGAGATGGAATAGAGCGGGCAGATGTTCCTTGGGTTTTAGACCGACGAGGAGTGATCCCAGTGAAACGCAAAAGAACCTGACAGGGTTGATGCTGAGAAGCTGTTTCCCTCCCCTCAACAAACCCTGGGGTTGGGAATTCCAAAACAAAGAAAGGGCTGACAGACTCTGGAAGAAGGAGTCGACAATTTCCGACTGTAATGGGGTAGAAATTTCTTCACCTGGAGGGAGTTTGGAATCCTTAACCCCAGGGGAAATCTCGGTCATCGGGAGTAGCTAAGACTCTGAGACTTGGAGATTCTTCGGACATGGAGGGGGAGGATGAGGAGAGGTAGGGGTGAGATTGGAGATCAGCCACAATTTTACCAAACGGGGTAGCAGGCTTGAGGGAGGTTGAATGGCCACCTCTAACTCCCGTGCCTCATGATTTTGTTTAAAGAACTCATGTGACCGCTCTGTCTCTCTGAATCAGTCAGTAATCTGTCCATTTATTGTGTTGCTGCTTACCAGATGGGATCTTGCTGTGTTGCCAAGCAGCTCCCATGTCACAATATTTTGCACATTTCATTTTTGGTTTGTGAAACACTTTGGGACCACGTGGGGGATTTTTAGTGATGATGAGAGGCTGGACGGGTTAGGATTCTTCCCTTCAGAACACAAGAGACCAAAAGGAGGTTTAATTGAGGTGTGTGAAATTGTGAGGAGATCTTAGATGGGAAGATGCTATCTCCCCTAGAAGGAAGGTCAATAACAAAAGGTCACATCAAACTACATTACAAGCTGCTGAAAGAGAGTTCAGTCAGCTGATTCTTGAGAGAAAGTGGTGAGGGAGTAGGAGAGGGAAAGAGGGGGAAGAGAGAGAGAAGAAAAGAGGGGGAAGAGAAGAAAGAGAAAAAGAGGAGGAAGAGTAGAAAGAGAAAAAGAGGGGGAGGGAGAGAGGGGGAATGGGGGTAAGAGAGGGAGGAGATAGGAAGAGAGAAAGAAAAGGGGGCAAGGGAGAGGGTGAATGAGAGAGAGGGAGGGGGTAAAAAGGGAGAGGGGGAGAGTGTGTGAAATGGGTGAGATAGGAGAGGTGGGAAAGAAGGGGAGAGACAGCCATAAGATCATAAGAAATAGGAACAGGAGTAGGCAGTTAGGCCCCTCAAGCTTGCTCCACCATTCAATTTGATCATGGCTGATCCAACATTCCTCACATCCATTTTCCTGCTCTTTCCCCATAACCCTTGATTCCCTGACTAATTAAGAATCTGTCTGTCTCAGCCTTAAATATACACAAGGGCTGTGTCCCTCACAGCTCTCTGTGGCAAGGGGATCCAAAGACTCTCATCCCTCTGAGAGAAGCACATTTCTGATGAGGGTGTTTACAATTGAAAACCCTTTATTTTGAGACTATGTCCTCTGGTCCTAGACATGAGAGGGGGGAGAAGAGGAGAGAGGTAAAGGAGGGGAGAATGTGGCGAGAGAAAAGAGGGGGAGGGGTAGAATGAGAAAAAGAGAGGGGGGAAACAAAGCAAATCCCCCCCCATCATAGAATCCCTGAACGCAGGAAGAGGCCATTCGGCCCATTGAGTCTACAATGACCATTCTACCCAAACCCAGCCCCTGTAACCCTTCATTTCCCATGGCTAATCTACCTAACTGCACATCCCTAGACTGGGAGGAAACCCACACAGACAGTCACCTGAGCGTGGAATTGAACCTAGGTCGCTGGCACTGCGAGACAGTAGTGCTAACCACTGAGCCGCTGTGCAGCCTGTGGTGAACAATAAATGGACTTGCATTCTGGCTTAGTACCTTTCTAGAACACCCCAGAGCCCTTTGAAATACTTCCCAACACATGTCAGAAAAGCAGGGTACATGGGAAGATCCCACAAGCAGCCACTTGAAGAAAGCCACCACATTCTTGCAAGGTTGAACCTGTGTCCAGGTGTTTGTGTGTGCATGTGTGTACGTATGCGCATCTGTCTGTGTGTGTCTGTGTATGTGGAGCAGAATGTGCCAGAGCACAAGCGCCTCCCAAGGGGGTGTGCTTTGGGAGCCCATTCTCAGGGTCCATCCTGTGCTTTGGGAGTTATCTCTGAGGTGAGAGATTTCAACTGAGTAGCTGTCGAGCTGTGTGTAGTTCAATCCTACAATGATGGGGAGGATTACAGACTGCGACATACAGACCATGAGACAAGGCACTGGTCCCATTGTTGTGTAACACAGTCAGATGGGTGTGTGCAGATCACTGAAAAAAGTGGGAGTGTTTGTTACAGCTTGCTCCCAGCTCAGACAAAGGAACGTCAAGGGTGGGAGCTCTTCAGTCCTATCGTTTTGGACAGGGTGGAATGCAAGCACAGTGTGGGCAATGGAAAAGTCTGAGAGCGCGCGCGTGTGTGTGTGTGTGTGTGAGAGAGAGAGAGAGAGACCTTAGATAGAGGGGGCTTTCACATACACAAACACAGAGAGAAGGTGGGCTAGAAAGGAAGAGGGTGAGTGGGAGATTTAGATTTTATTGTCACACGTACTCGAGTACAGGAGTACAATGAAAAGTGTACAAGGTCGCCATTCTCCAGCGCCATCTTAGTGTACAAAAGACAAGGTTTAAAACAGAAGCAGAAATAAAAGAAACAGCCAAAAGAAAAGGAACATGCAGATCACTCCCCCATGTCCACCATGAGTCCTCACCCCCAGAAAAACAAAGCCACAATATCCGTCCCTCAGTCTGCAAACTCTCAGGTACCCTAAGTCCCCGCATGCAGCTGCAGTCTCAGGGAGGGGGAGGGAGAGAGAGAGAGACACATACACAGAGCTAGAGAACAATAAAAAGAGACAGACACACTGACACAGAGGGGGAGAGAGAGAGAAATATGCACTCACACACATATGGAGATGGAAGTGACAGAGAGACAGACTGACATGCAGGGAGAGAGAATGGCAGAAAGAGAGAGATACGCACAAACACAGAGAATGACAGAAATAAAGAGGAGACACCACGCACAGTGAAAGAGAGAGGAGAAACAGTGAGTGATAAGACTTACACACAAAAAGAGGGAGTGAGAGAGAGAAAGACAGAGACATCCACACGCTCACAGGGAGGGAATGACCAAGAGAAAGAGGACAAGGATATGGACACAAACACAATGACAGAGCGAGGGAAAGGAGACACAGAGTGTAAGTGACACACGCATACACAGACAGCAAATGAGAGAGACAAAGAGTATGGCAGAGAGAGAGAGACAGAGAATGAGAGACATGCACACAAAAAGAAAGATACAGAAAGAGGCAGAGACATAGAGGGAAAGACACAGAGTGAAAAGAGATAGAAAGAGAAATGGAGATTATACACAACCCCAATGGATCCAGACCCCCTTCCCATTCACTCCCACTCTACAAAATCCCAATGGACTTAAATCTCTTTTCATTCACTCCAACAGTACACAATACAAGTATGACCAAAATCCTCAGGACAGGTATAGCACGGGGTTAGATAGAGTAAAACCTCTTTTACACTGTCCCCAGTCAAACACTCGCTGGACGGGGACAACATGAGGTTAGATACAGAGTAAAGGTTCCTCTGCGCTATCCCCCATCAAACACTGTCAGGAAAGGGACAGCACAGGGTTAAATACAGAGTAAAGCTCCCTTTACACTGACCCCCCCATCAAACACTCTGGGGACAGGGACAGCACAGGGTTAGGTAGAGTAAAGCTCCCTCTACACTGTCCCCCATCAAACACTTCAAAAAAGGTACTGCGCAAGTACACCATTCCCAAACACAACACAATTGTGAGGATTGATTTACACAGCCCTTCTTCCAAAATCTTAGCACCAAGGTACACCTGGGACTGGATTAGACAGGACAGGAGTCATGTCTGGAACACACAAATACTCTAACTTGCCCGTGGACGGAACAGGTTAGTCAGCGGCCAAAGCCCTTGAATACACCTGCTTAAAGCTGTTCTTCATTCAGAGAAGTCCAATGTCCCAGACGCAGCCCCGAAAACATGGCTGAACCTCCTAACCCTTTTGGGCGTTCTGCTTGATGTCCGTGGGGCCCTAGAGGTTTAGAGAGAGCTGCACTTTGCCTCGCTGATGGACAAACCCCAAAGCAGAATGGTCAATCCCAACATGCCGGTGCAGACCAAATCCTGGGGGGATCTCCTCTCCCGCGAGCCTCTGTCATGATAAAGAGGCAACTTGAGGGGAGTCAGAGACCAATCGCACTTGCAGACAATCAAAGCCCAGTTGCTGAATTTTAGCAGCGGAAATTTACCAGCAACAATTTCCACTGATGGAGCCTCATTGTAAGGCGGTGCTTAACCCGGAAGGGAGGTTGTCAGCTCAAGGCGGGATGAAATCATAAGGGTCCAGCAATCATGAGCCATACCATGGTTCCTTGGGAGAAGAAAGTTCCCATTGCTGCTGGCAGTACTTGACCCTCAGTTACATGTGTAGGCATGAGTCCTCTCACTGCATTGGCTGCACGTGACCTGACAGCACCAGTGGAACTTGCAGTTGCACTGCCAGGTGCGGGTGTACTGGAAGGTGCTGTATCCACGGCCGCAGCACAGGACCTCACAGCTGCCCAGCTTCCCCGGGCCGGTGCGCTCACACCGGCGTCCCCGGGTACCCACGCTGCCCGTTGCTGGGCTCTCCTCACAGTAGTCGGGCGAGCGCTCAATGTAGACCAGGTCGGTGGGCAGTGGCTTGAGGTGGGGCGTCTTAAGGACCTTCAGGAAGGTGGGCTGGTGCCCCCGGCCTGCCAGCACGGGCTCCACCTGCACTGCCTGCCCATACTTGTCCTTCAGGGCGAAACCCACCTCCCGGAAGGCAGGCAGGGTCACCCAACAGGTCTTGATGGTGCACGATCCCGATACCCCGTGACACTTGCACTCCATTCTCATGCTGTCCTTCAAAACCTGAAAATAAGGAAAGCAACAAATGCTTATGTGTCAGCTTGAGTAGTTGTCTGCATGTAACAAAAACCAAAATTGTTGGAGAAACTCAGTGGGTTCTGACAGCATCTGTAGAGAGAGAAACAGATTCATAGAGTCATACAGCATGGAAATCAACCCTTTGGCCAAACTGATTCACACTGACCATGTTCCCAATCTAAACTAGTCCCACGTACAGCCATAGAGTCATAAAGCATGGAAACTGATCCTTTCGTCCAACCTGTCCATGTCGACCTTGTTCCCAAACTAAACTAGGCCCACATAGAGTCATACAGCACAGAAACAGACTCTTCGGCTCAACCAGTCCATGCTGAATATAATCCCAAACTAAACTAGTCCCACCTACCTGACTTTTGCCCATACCCTTCCAAACCTTTCCTATTCATGTACTTATCCAAATGTCTTTTAAAGGTTGTAACTCTACCCACATACACCACTTCCACTGGCAGTTCATTCCATACATGAACCACTCTCTGTGTGAAAAAGTTGTCCCTCATGTCCTTTTTAAGACTTTCTCCGTTCACCTTAAAAATATGACCCCTCGGTTTGAAGTCTCCCACCCTAGGAAAAAGACCCCTGCTATTCACCTTATCTGTGCCCCTCATAATTTGCAGATGGCAATAAATTGGAGGGCAAAGCTAATAATGTGGAAAATGACAAAAAATATTCGCCAAGATAGAAACGTGCTTGCTGGTTGATTATAAATGACAAATGTAATTCAACATAGCCAATCAGTATTTTTTGCCTTAACGTTTTGAGTCTGAAACTACTCCTCTTCAGAATTAAAGCGTATTGGAAAATTTTTTTTTATGTACTTCTGGAATTCCCTTCCTCAAAAGGCGGTGAATGCAGGATCTTTAAATATTTTTAAGGCACAGGTCAATAGGTTGTTTCCAACTCCAGTGACCCTTCTTCCAGATTCTGCCGTCAATTCCGTTGCTGGTCTATAATTCCCAGATTTTTCTTTGCAGCCCTTCTTGAATAAGGGCACAATATTCGCTACCCTCCAGTCTTCCGGGACCTCACCCGTAGCTAACGATGATGCAAGTATATCAGCCAGGGCTCCTGCAATTTCTTCTGTAGCCTCTTGCAGTGTTCTTGGATATATCTGGTCAGGGCCAGGAGATTTTTCCACCTTCATGCATTCTAATACTTCCAACACCACCTCTACTATGATATGGACTGTCCCCAAGATATCGCCACTAACTTCCCCAAGTTCCCAAGTCTTCATCTCTTTCTCCACGGTAAACACAGAGGAGAAATATTCATTAAGGAACTCGCCCATCTCCTGCAGTTGCACACATACATGTTGACTTTGGTCCTCAAGGGGTCTTATTCTCTCCCTACTTATTTTTTTTTCTCTAATATACCTAAAGAATTTCTGTGGATTCACCCTAATCTTCTCAGACAAAGCTATCTCTTGCCCCCTTTTTGACCTCCTGATTTCCTTCTTCAGTAAACTCCTGTATCCCCAACATACGTTCAGATTTCCCTTGATCCCAGCTGCCTGTACCTGAGCCATGCCTCCTTTTTTCCTGATGGTTTCTGGACTTGTACCAGAGTGTTACTGCCAGTGCTGAGAATGGTTGATTTAAACGTGTTCTCTTATGTCCTCGGGGTATTGCAGAGGTAGGTTTTTAGCAAGCGAGGCCTGTAGATGTTACATAGTGTCTGTGTCACCCAGGCTCTCGATGTTGAATCTTGCTGTGGTCTGCTTCTTCTGAACGCTCCTCTTTCTGTGTAGTCTGATGGACATTGTGGAACAGATAAGGGTGTGATCAGTCCAGCAGTCATCTGAGCCAGTCAGAGCCCTGGTGACATTCACATCCCAACAGTCCCTGCAAACAATGACATAATCAGTGAGATGCTATTACTTTGAGCATGGGTGCCTCCAAAATGCTTTGAATTGTTTTTCTGACAGAAAAGTGTGGTTGTGTCGATGGAGTTATACTCAGCGCATGTTGTGAGAAAAAGGACACCATTGGAGTTGATGTCGCCGATACCTTCCCTTCCTGTGATGCTGTTCCAAAGATCGTGGTCTTGACTGACCCTGACACTGAAGTCTCTAAGAAGAATTGTCCTTGGGGATGCTTGACAACAGAGAGTCAAGGTTGGCATAGAAAATCTCCTTCACTGCCTCTTCCGAGTCAAGAGTTGTGCACAAGCACTCAGAACTGTAGCCATCTGGTTGTTGGTGAGCATCAGGTCATGAGTCAGTCGTTGATCCCCACAGGAGGTTCAGAAAGGCAACTGAGGAGCTGGCTCTTAATTACAAATCCGACACCATGAATGCTGGGCGTGTCAGCAACCTTCCTTTTTCAGAAGAAGGTGTAATCACCTTTCATCTCCTTTAGTTGCCCTTTATCTGGAAGGCACGTTTCAGAAAGAGCAGCTAGGTCAATCTGACATCTCTTCAGTTCTCTGATTATGATTGCAATTCTCTCAGGTTGGTCACTGTACACTGGGTCCATCAAGGTTTTTACATTCCAGGCTCCAAAGTTTATTCTTCATTTCTGACCACATGTGAGCAATCCCTCTGGACACGGTAATCCAGTCAGGAGTTTTGAGGCAGTCTATTTTAGGAAACCTTTTCCAGACCCCTCCCCTGCTGGGATGAGCAGAGCGGATCCTAAACAGGGTGAAGCTGTCAAAATGGTCTATCTAGCTCGTTCAGGAGCAAGCCGACAGAATCTGACACCTACCACCTAATATGTCCATTTGTGACTATGGGCTTCCAGATATCACAGTCCTGGCACCGTCCGCCCCACACCTCATTCACACATACACACACGCACACACAGACACACACACACACCTCTTACACTCACATACCTCACACACACACATATACACAGAGACTCCCTACATACACACACACACTCTACGTAATCTCTCTCTGTCTCTCTCACACACACACTCACACACAGACACCTCATACACACACACACTATGT